AAGGAAGGCCCAGCGCGGTGGCTCACGCCTGTAATCCTAGCACTCTGGGAGGCCGAGGCGGGCATATTGCTCGAGGTCAGAGTTTGAAACCAGTCTGAGCAAGAGTGAGACCCCGTCTCTACTATAAATAGAAAGAAATTAATTGGACAAACTAATATATATAGAAAAAATTAGCCGGGCATGGTGGCGCATGCCTGTAGTCCCAGCTACTCGGGAGGCTGAGGCAGGAGGATTGCTTGAGCCCAGGAGTTTGAGGTTGCTGTGAGCTAGGCTGATGCCACGGCACTCACTCTAGCCTGGGCAACAAAGCAAGACTCTGTCTCAAAAAAAAAAAAAAAAAAAAAGATATAAAAGGAAAAGGAGGACCAGCCACTCTTTATGACCTTTGGCCACGAAGAAAGGTCAGCAGTACCTACCATTCTGAGTTATGATATCTCCACATTAGGCCCCCAAACCCACAGAAGCTAGAAGAGCATTCCTCGTGCATCATCGCTGGCCATGAGAACTAAACAAATATGCTCTTATTTCAGGAACAGATAGTTTTGGTCACGTCTTCAGGGTACTCTACCAGCTGCTATGACATTGACTTTTTTACTACATTCCAATGTTATTATTGACTTAAAATAGTCCTTGAGAGAGAAGAAAAAGAAAATCTGACTTTGGCAATAAAAAGCATTGCATTATTCCAACTCGCTTTCAGTTTTAAATAATTCTGTGAATCATTCCTGTTTCCTTTTATTTTTTTTTTTTAAGTGGGAAAGTAAAGTCCTGCCCAAGCTAGATGGAAAGGCAGCTGTGTTTGCATTGTAACCTGCGTTTTGAATGGCAAATGCACGGGTAGAGAACCCACCAGCAACAGCGAGGACAGGCAAACATTCCAGAAACAAGTGTACACCTGAGTGACGAACTAGGCCAACTGGTGTCATGCAACACTCTTAAAGCTCACACGTATTAAGGTTTTGGAAGATTTATCAATTTCTTTAATTAAAGGACTGGGATGATATGAATCACAGAACTATTTTTTTCCTAATTGATGCAAATCATAAAAACACATGACAAAAATCTGTTCCCAGATTTTTTCATTGCAGAAGTTTTAAAATTTGATTTAAAATATATGCATATATATTTATCTTTTTGTTCCTTTACATTTTTCAATGGGTGGTAATTTTGCTTAACCCATACTCTAATTATACTGATCAGCTTTCACAGTAGGGATAGAGTTTCTATTTTTTTAAGCCTTTCACTCTGAGGCTAGGAGCCTGGGCCACTGGAGGACAACTCAGTACCCTTCCTGGATGCTGACAGCCTAGCTCACAGCAACCTCAAACTCCTGGGCTCGAGTGATCCTTCTGCCTCAGCCTCCCGAGTAGCTGGGACTACAGGCATGCGCCACTATGCCCGGCTAATTTTTTTTTATATATATATATCAGTTGGCCAATTAATTTCTTTCTGTTTATAGTAGAGACGGGGTCTCGCTCTTGCTCAGGCTGGTTTTGAACTCCTGACCTTGAGCAATCCGCCCGCCTCGGCCTCCCAAGAGCTAGGATTACAGGCGTGAGCCACAGCGCCCGGCCCTGACAATCCAATTTAAGAGTACAGAGGAAATGAATAACTTTTCAAAACATTTTATCACTTTTTCTTAATCAATTCTCTCTTGAAGCTTATTCTTTTTTAAAAAAAAATCAACCAGGATAAATATTTGACCACTTAGAGGATAGTTTCTTACCTTATCCAATAAAGTTGGACCACAGCCTGACTTCACATCACCTATAAGCTGCACAGGTTCTCTTTGGCCTGTTCATGGCCAGTAGAAGAGATTGCATGTGCCAACCAAATAGTTCAGGTGAAACATTGCACGAAAAATATAAGGAAAATTATTTTATAAAAAATAGCTCTTTAACAAGTGGAATTGATATATGAATGCTTGGCAGAAGAAAATGCTTTGCAAATGAAAAACATGATGTCAGGAATGCCCTTGCATCTTTACCACTCCTAACTCGAGTAAATGATTCTGGATGCCTGTTGGGAATATCCACAATGTTGTCACAGAGCCTGATTAGAACTTGCTTTTGAAGTCAGTTCACTGCTTTGGAGGTAACATTTATAAATGGGTGCTTTGGGCTCTGCAGGACACAGGACTGTATTTTTTGCCAATTGAAAATGAGACTGTTCCCCATATAGATTATAAGGCAGTCATTTTAATACCTCATTGACCAGAATTGCTGTGTTGTCAGCCGTCCTTTTTCTGTTGAACATCCAAGCAATAACACTGGGTACTAAAGAAATTAGAACTTGTCAAAATGACACTGGTAAGCAGGCTGGAAATGTGGTTGGCTTTTCAGTGACATTTGTTTTCCAAAGCGTGATGTTAAAAGTATTTACTTTTACAGCTGGCACCTGTAGTCTCTTGAACTAGTGTGAGGAATGATTCGCCATGAATTACAGTTATAATGATAATAGCTAGCAATTAGTTGAGCACTTACTTTATGCTAAGGAGTTTTCTACATTGCTACATTGCCATATTTAATTTTCGCAAGCACCCTGTACGGTGGGTGATATCATTGCCACCATTTTACAGATGAGGAAACTGAGGCACAGGGAGGTAATGTAACCCACCTAAAGTCACAGAGTCTATGCTCTTTAATCCCCAAGTCCTTTCCCACCAGTCTCTCTAAGAAAGGAAGCACCAGCATGGACAAACGTGAGTAGGAAAATTAGCATCTGTCAGTAGTGATCCTTGTGAAGTGTGTATGAAGCCGTCTTGGTGGATACCATTCCCTGGGGAGCCATCATTTCAGTATGATTGAGAATTAGAAAGGCTAAGCCCCTTCTACCACTTGTGTGTGTCTGAAGAAAGCGTCTAATATCCATTAATGTCTTCTTTTAAGAGGTTGGGTTCTTGGCACCCCTGACACCAAACAGTCTTGCTTTCTTCCACAGTCTGTGCTACTTTGTGGCAGTGTGAGGCATTGATACACCTCCATGGAGAACCAACCAAGGGGCCCCATGTTCAAGTGCTGGGTCAGTGGCTTTCCCATCACCCCTACCTTCCTTCTCCAGTCTTGACATCGCTCCTCCTGCAGTTAGGAGGGCTGGTTCCACATTGTTATGAGGCCACGCTCAGATCTCTTTGCTTAGGAAATGCCATGGCCCACACCTCTTAAATAATACGATTATTCCACACTCAGCTCTTGCGTGCCTCCTTTCTGAAAGCACCTGACTTAGCATATTGAAAGATGAAGGCTGAGCAACCTGGGATAATCGATAACTCACTTGCAGCCCATTCAGCTTTTTCATTGATGGCAAAGCTATCTATGGGGCTGGATAACCATATTTTTTTAAAGCTACGTATGCTTTTCCCATAGTTTACAAAGCCTTTTGCCAAGTGGCAACTGCAGGTATCTGAATCTTTGGACCTGACCCTCTCTTTAGTAAATCATAAATACCCAAAAACAGTTGAGCTGAGGGGACAGTGAGAAGCATAAGAAATTCTGGCTTAGGCAATGGCTATAGCCTATATTCCTCCAAGGCGGTTCCTAACTAAGCTATAGGGACAGCTTATCGTGTTGGTTCAGAGACAGCTGTTCTGACAACCAGGATTGTCTTATTTCCTGGGCTGTTTTGATTTTCTGAGCAGCTTTGTGTGAGAAATGGCAGGTATTAAAAGTCCATTGTAGGCTGGGTAATCCTAGCACTCTGGGAGGCCGAGGCGGGCGGATTGCTCTAGGTCAGGAGTTCGAAACCAGCCTGAGCAAGAGCGAGACCCCCGTCTCTACTATAAATAGAAAGAAATTAATTGGACAACTAATATATAGAGAAAAAATTTGCCGGGCATGGTGGCGCATGCCTGTAGTCCCAGCTACTCGGGAGGCTGAGGCAGCAGGATTGCTTGAGCCCAGGAGATTGAGGTTGCTGTGAGCTAGGCTGACGGCATGGCACTCACTCTAGCCTGGGCAACAAAAAGCAAGACTCTGTCTCAAAAAAAAAAAAAAAAAAGTCCATTGTAGGGGAGAATCATATACAACCTAGTAGAAAAGGAACTTTATCTCGGAGGGAAACATCCAGTTTTTAGGCACTCTTCCTGAGCCCTGCTCCTCCATCTAAGAAGGTCCTGAGTGCCAAGGCCCCGCCTACATACACTCTGAAGCCACCTCAATGGACTCTTACCTAGACTTTGTCTCCTGTCATTTCCTTTCAGACCATCGCTATCTCCTCTGTCTGGCTGCATCCGACTATTTTTAAATTCCCTCGTTTCCTGACTGTCTGCTGAGTGGATAATTAAACATTAAGTCCATTCTATTCTTTGTTGAGATCATATGTTTTAAAAAGACTTGCCATGAGAAACTGAATAGCAACTTTGAAAGACAGACTTTGAAAAGGAGACCACTAGCCTCCAGCAAGTTTAAAGAGTTTGAGACCAGAATACAAGCAAAAAACACATTCCAGCTGAGTCTTCCTGCTGGGACCAGGCACATGCTCATAGGCACTACTGGTTGTTGATTTCTCTGGTCTGGTGCTATAGAATGTGGATGCCAGAGTTGAGTGCTTGGGTCTCTGTCACTTACATGCTGTGTGACATTCAGCAAATTACTGTATCTCCCTCAAACGTGCCTCAACATTTTCATCTGTAAGATAGAGATAATAATGTTACCTGGCTCAAAAGGTTGTCGTAAAGATCAAATCCAAGTGAACCACCTAGCAACTGGCACATGGAAAGTGTTCAATAAATGCTATTAGTGAAACGTTCAGGGAGGGTTAAGAAGAGATGTGCTTACTTTAGATTTGCATACAATTCCCATCTTGGAGCCACTGTGACAATCCCTTTCTGCATATGGCCTAATAACAACCGCAGGTGTTTTTATTTTGATTTTTCCTCTGTCACCCACCCACTGGCAGGGATGCGGGAGCTATGTGTCTCCTGGGTAGAGCTCTGATTCTGTGCAGACGAGACTTACGGGTCATTTGGGTTGACTGGCCTCCTGGTTCTTTTTCTCACTCAGGTGCTGGAAAGCTTCAAGATTATGGACTATAGCCTTTTGCTGGGGATCCACATCTTGGACCATTCCCTCAAAGAGAAAGAAGAAGAGACCTCACAAAATGTGCCTGATGCTAAGAGGCCTGGGATGCAGAAGGTCCTCTACTCAACAGCCATGGAATCTATCCAGGGTCCAGGGAAATCTGGAGATGGGATCATCACAGAAAATCCAGAAACGTAAGTGGAGCCACAGGCCTGCCCACCCTCCTGATCGTGGCAGCCCAGGACCCTGGGTAATTACATGCAACTACATTCCCCTTACGGCGGCACTCTGTGAATGGGGTCCTACTCAGCACTGAAATGGATTAAGCCAACTTCATTTCTATTCATCTATGGATAACTACATGAATGGCAGCTTCCTGAGTTGTTATTCTTTCAGCCACTTGGTTTCTTTTTTCAAATGGCTCCACTTTTTAACAATGGCTGAAAATGTTTTTACCCCCATTTACTACATATGCAAAACATCCACTGCAAAAGGGGAGAATAAACTTTGAATTTGAATAAACATGTATTTAGGGCAAATACACGATAGGAATGATGTTTGCAATTCAGAGCTTTTCATCTGCACAAGGGGATTCTGTTGTTCTAGTCCTGCACCCTGGCAGATGTGGTCTCTCGCCTCAGCCAGATGTGATAATAACTGCAGGATTGATTTGCATGTATAAAGTGCATATTGACTATCAGAAACAATTACAACCAAAGAATATTATTCTAATGGCTAACTGCATCAGGTGTGTGTGCTAGCTGAGCAAGGAGACTGAAAGAAAGAAAGAAATTATCTCCCATGGCCACAAGTCCTTCTAGGATTCTCCAACAATGACTGAACGATGAGTATGTTTCACTTTTACAAAGGAAATTAATGCCTATTTTTAAATCCTTGTTTGCAAATCCATCTAAATGTCCAATACTCAATTAAAGAAATTATTCTATATCAGTATGTTGAAATACTACACAGCTATTAAAAATCACACTAGCATTGAATATGAGGAAAAGTTCATTTAGTAAGTGAAAAATTCAGGTTATAAAGCATGATAAATTAAATAATCCCCTTTGTGGATTAATAAATACACACACATATACTGGAAAGGGGTACAAAAATTCAGTAGTTATCTGTGTGTGCTAGGAGTGGTGTTTTATTAATGTGTTTTTTGTGCATTTCTGTATTTTATTTTAAAAACTCACAGTAAATGTGTATTACTCTTTTGAGCAGGAAAAAAGGCTTACATTTTTAAAAGCAATATATTATAATGCCCTAAAAATGTTCATTCATGGTTTTAAAATAGGAATGATTTTTGAATTGGATTCTTCACATCCAACTCTTCAGAGTTGACAATTATATTATTCTTTTTTGTGGGGAAGTACATCATTTTGTATTCTCATGAAGACTTTAACTGATACAATAAAAAAAAAAGAAGAAAAAGAAGAAAGATGAATATGGGGAGATAGCCCAGAATTCTTAAAGACTGTCCACTTTTATTTTTAATCTACTTATTAGAAGTGAGTTTTTAACTTCCTATCTTGTATGATAAAATATTTTCCCTTTTGCTCTATCAACAGAATGGGAGGCATTCCAGCAAAAAGCCATAAGGGAGAAAAACTACTTTTATTTATGGGCATTATTGACATTCTTCAATCATACAGGTAAGAACTTTTGAGAAGTGGTCTTTTATTATTTCGAAATTAATCAACAAAAGGTTCTGAAAATTCACCAGATGGGAGTGATTTTACATCCTCATTTTTATGTTTCTGTTTACATTTAAAAGGTTAATGAAGAAGTTAGAACATTCCTGGAAAGCTCTTGTTTATGATGGCGTAAGTGACTTATATTCCTTGTCAAACTGTATATATTTTTGTTTTCTCAGAGACTTCAGAATGTGTCCTAGGCTTTATGAGCAGAGGTAACAGAGGTCTTTATAAACTCAGAGTCCTAGGCTAGCAGACTGATTCAAATCTGAGAACAAAGACGACATAAATAGCCGTCCATTACAACAGATTGCATCCAGCCTAGTGGCTAGGTAGAGCCCTGAAAAACAAAATGCCATCTTGTTTCTATGTGAAATCTACAGGACTCCAGTATGACATAAGGATGAGAAAAAAGAGGAAACTTTTTTCACAGGCACTGGGCAGATCAGTAGGGCAGTTGAAATGAAGTTCTCATAAGACCAAACCTACAGAGGGGCTTGATTGTAGACTTCGATTGTAGACAGCTGGATCTGAACCCTGCCTTCACCCCTGCGCTAGCCATGTGACCCAGGCACATTGGCTTCTTTCTTTCAGCCTGGTTTATCCTCTGTACCAAGGGGATGGGAACAGTATCCGCCTGATGTGAGGATGAAATAAATCAATGCATATTAGTGTTCAACATGATGCCTAACATATAACGAGGACATAAAATGTGAAAACCCTGAAGTTGGTATGGGTTTATACATAGACATTTGCACAGGCTGACTGATATGAGTATGTCTTAATTGACATAACTGAAAAAAAAGTCAATTATTAAAGGAGCAGTCACCTCCTCTTTTTTCTCACCCCACCTCCCTCTCTCTGTCTCTCTCTGTCTCTCTCTGTCTCTCTCTCTCTCTCTCTCTCTCTCTCTCTCTCTCACACACACACACACACACACACACACACACATACACACAGTCCCATCTAGATGTTAGATTTCAACTTCCTGCTACTGACAGAAGCTTTATTTGGCTAAGCCTCTCTAAGTTAATAACTGGAAGTGGCACTTCCAAAGCATATATTGGTTAAAGATTTGGTCACACCTTTCCCTTTAAGATGTTGGCAGACGCTTTCCTTTGAAAAAGGATAAATTGTAGATGTTATTCTCCTTTCTCGGAAAGAACATGCACATTCTCAGTTCTATGGAAGACTGTTAATAACCTTTCAGCACAAAAGACCTGGGTTTTATCCACAGGCTATAGACTGACCTTTGTCAGAATGCACTTTTAAACAACAGATTCACAAATTTGTTTCTAAGAATTAACCTCAGTCCTACTCAGATCAAAGATTCCTCCTATGAAAAGGTCAAGATGGTAGGTTAATTTTATTTTTCCTTCCAGCTGAGAAAGGTGGGGACTACATAGTACCTTAAAATGGAAGGGAGAGAGAGTAAACACCCCTGTTTCATTGCCCTTCTGTTTTCTGAGACAACTTAAATTTCCTGTTAGCAGATAAGATTTCTCATCTAAATGGCCTAATCCTATATAGGCTAGATGCTTCTAAGGGCCCCCACCTTTGTTTCTTTAAAACATATCTTCTGTTATTAGTTTGGTTTTTTGGCTTAAATAAAAATCTCTGTGCCGATTATATATCATAAACTTATTTTTGTTTGTTTACAAACATGGCTCTATCCTAAACAATGTTGTATTCATACCAAAGAGAAGAACAATGTAACTTCTCTTTAAAGGCAAAGGCTGAATCTTAATCATCTATGGATATCCTTCAGGCTCTGGCATCCTACTGATATTTCTAAATTACTGTCCTTGTTGGGGAAATGTATCCACTTAACACAGAAGCTGCCAGGGTACTGGGAAGAGTACATATTAAACTAGCAGTAAATTTCTCAACACATGTACAGCCTCAGTGACTTTTGTGCCTGAAAAGGGACCCACCCTATGACTGTGTCCTTCATCACTTGCTGACTACAGGATTATAGATTGTCCCAGCTACAATGTGCCTCCTGTAACAGCCTATTTCACAGATAAAGAACCTGAAGCCCTGAGACTCTGGCTTTTCTCAAGAACCAGGTCTCCTGACTTTTGGCCCAATGTGTTTTTCCCTCCAACCCCACTGCAGATACTTTGTAGTATCTAAACTTAAATTTTTAGAACTTTCCACATTGGAACCCATAAACCTAGATTCAAAAGGAAGCATTATATGAACAAATTTACTATGTCTAGCAAGATACAGCTTGGAGACATGATTTGAATAAATGATTGCTAAACAAACAGAGAGAATTAGCTCCTTCCTCCATCTTTCCTGGATTTGTAATAAAATGACCCTTTAGTCCTAAAGAATCCTGCTAAGAATGAGAGAAGAATTGAGTTAACAATCTAATTCAATTCAACCCTATGTAATTAGTAGATAATTCAGTGTAATGGGAGTTATCTGCTAGCCTGTCTCCTAGGAATCCTCCTAGTGTCTACTCATCATATTACTTGGAGATGAAACCAGAACACTTTTTAACTTAAATGTCACTGTTACAATTAGGGTGGTTTTGTTGGTTTATGTCCCCAATGTAGCTCTTGACCACTTTTGGTCCAGGACATTGGCTAGCAGAGAACCAATTGCATAGATCTTTCTTGTGACTTGAGATAAACTCTCTGAGAGGTAACCCTGTGATGCTTGATTTGTCCTTGCAGGACACTGTTTCTGTTCATAGACCAAGCTTTTATGCAGACAGATTTCTAAAGTTCATGAATTCCAGAGTTTTCAAGAAAATTCAAGGTAAGATCCTTATGAAAGGTTTTTACTTTTGGTCACTGACTTCACTATGTATCTTTGCAAGATTTTTATTGGAAGAGTTGGAGCTATTTCTTTCCTTACAGTGGCAATCACTCAATAGTTATGATTAAGTATCTTGCTCAGGTATTTACTGATACATAATCATTAGAGTCCTATTTTGTGGTGAAAAAAGATTAGAAGCTTTCTCAATGTCCAATCTTATAATACAGATTATTATAAGATTGTTATATACGATTATTTGTATACGATTCTATTATTTGACTATTTCATGATATGAAATAGTCAAATAATAGTCAAATAGTCTATTATGAAATAGTCAAATAATAGAATCGTATACAAACAATAAAAATGATGTATTGTTTAAAATAAAATTAAGATAAATAAATGAAAATCATGTATTAGAGATACATGTATCCCTTTAAATATAGATTATTCACATATATGTAGTTATCAATCTGTAGACCTTAAATACACAGCAGAATTCTAATGGCATATATAAAACTATTAAGAGTAGTTATTCTCATGAAACATTCTCCAGGATAGACCATGTGTTAGGCCATAAAACAAGGCTCAATAAATTTTAAAAGATTGAAATTATACAAAGTATCTTTTCCTGATCACAATAGAATGAATCAATAAAGAATGAAAATTGGAAACTTCACAAATACATGAAAATGAAACAACACACTCGTAAACCACCAATGGGTTAAAGAAGAAATCACACAGAAATTAGAAAAAGCTCAGAGATGAATGAAAATGAAAACACACATAGCAAAAATTATAGCATGCTGCTGAGGCAGTGCTCAGAGGGAAGTTTATAGCTGTAAACTCTTACATTGAAAAAAGAAGAAAACTCTCAACTCCATACCCTACCTTTCAACTTTGTAACTAGAAAAAGAAGAGGAAACTAAACCCAAAGCTAATAATGGTTATTCTGAAGCAGAGGATTATGTGGGATCTAATTTTTCTTTATATTGTTTATTAAATTTTCTACAATGGATATGTGATATTCTATAGTTGTTTTTAAATTATGTGAAAAGGAAAAAAAAACCCTATTTTATATATGTTGTTATTTTATCATTTAGCTATTCTGGGTTCCATTTCATGACTCAAAACATGATAATTTAGTCACACACAAAAACTGAAAAAGTAGAATGTTCATGTTTTATATTTAAATAAGATGAATTTTTGCTTATTTATTGGAGCTTGTTTATACTTTCAATGTAAAAATTTTGGAAAATACAAGAAGATGAAAAGACAACATGAACATTATTTGAAATCCCATAACCTAGAGATATCTACTACTAATATTTTGATGTACTTTCTACTGATCTTTTATTTCTGTACTTTGTGTATTTACATAACAATGGTAGCATAATGGTCTACAATTTTAGGCATATGTCCTCTATTTTTTTACATAACATTATAACTCAAGTAGTTTCCCATATCATTATATAATCTATGAAGATATCATTTAAACTTACAATATAATATTAAAATTACATAGGTATGCCATATTCTGTTTAAGCATTCTTTCAGTATTAGACATTTACAGTGTTTCTTTTTTTTTCTATTTCCAACTAATATTTTCATGAACATCATTTCACATAAATGATGTGTCCAAATTTAGGATTATTTCTTTGGGATAGATTCCAGGAAGGGATCCTGGGATAATAAAATTCACATAACTACACAGAGATATTGTGACACTGTAGGCTCCCACAGAGTCTGAATTCTACCAACCCTCAGCCAGCATTATGCTTTTTAAATTATGTTACTCTGATAAGTAAAAAATGTTATCTGATTGTTTTATTTTGCATTTCTTGAGTACTGGTAAAGTTCAACCATTATTCATGTTTATTAGGCATTTGTAATTCCTTTGAGAATTGAGCTTTGTAACATTCGACCATTTATATTGGGTATTTATTATTTTTCCAAATGATATATGTGATTCCTACATATTAAAAATGTTAACGCTTTTTCTACCTTATTTCATTCTAAGAAAAACTTTTTTTTTTTACATTTGACTATCTCAATGGTATCTTAAAATTGCTAGCAAATGGAGACCACTATAAAGTAAATTCTCTGCCCAGAGCTTTTTTGACCTAGGATGGACCCTAAGATAGTATTTATGGAGACTGCAAACCTATGTGAATACCAACTTGTGATTCAAATTTTTCTACCTCCTTTAACCCTTTGCCAAGGTTGGAAAACGAAGCCCCTGGCAGGTCTGTGGAGGAAGTGGCCCTTTAATGTTCCAGCTTCAGTGAGGCTGCTCTGGGGACTCCCCATTTTATGGGGTTTTCCCTTCTTAGTAGCATCTAAATGAATGGTACTATCAATGACATCTTCAATTTCATAAAATGTAGCATATGCTACAGATTTTTTCAGTTTGTATAGTTTATCATGTTTTTAATGTAACAAGTCTTTTACTACTTAAGTAGTAAAAAATCTATTGACTTTTTCCCATTTTGATTTCATTATTTTTTTTTATGATTGTAAATTATTTATTTATTTTTTTTTATTTTGGCATATTATGGGGGTACAGATTTTAAGGTTTCAATAAATGCCCATTTCCCCCCCTCCCCCCAAAAGTCTGAGTCTCCATCATTATTTTTAATAGCTTTATTGAGGTATAATTCAGATCCATAAAATTCACCCTTTTAAAGTGTACAATTCAATGGTTCTTAATATATTCACAAAGTTATGCAACCATCTCCACTTTCTAATTTTAGAACATTTTCATTACCCTAAAAAGAAATCCTATGCCCATTAGCAGTCATTCTCTATTTCTTCCTCTTCCCAGCCCCAGCAGCCACTAATTTATTTTGTGTCTCCATGGTTTTTCCTATTCTGGACATTTCATATAAATTATAAAATGTGAACTTCTGTGTTTGGCTTTTTTCACTTAACATATTTTTAAGGTTTATCCATGTTGTAGCTTTATTCTTTTTTATTGTGGAATAATACTCCATTGTATTGATGTATGATATTTTGTTTAACTCTTCATAAGTTGATAGATATTTAGATTGTTTCCATTTTTGGATGTTATAAATAATGCTGCTGTGAACATCCAATTACAAGGTTTTGTGTGGGTGTATATTTTCATTTCTCTTGGATATATACCTATAAGTGGAATTGCTGAGTCAGATGGTAACTTATCTGTTTAATATTTTGAGAAACTATCAAGGTCTTTTCCAAAGCAGCTGCGGCATTTTACAATCCCACTAGCAATGTATGAGGGTTCCAATATCTCTACATCCTCATCAACATGTGCTATTGTCTATCTTTTTCATTTTGGCTGTTCCAGTGGGTATGAATTGGTATCTCACTATAATTTTGATTTGCATTTGTAATGATTAATGATGAACATCTTATATGTGCTTATTATCAATTTATATCTTCTTTGGAGGAATGTTTATTCAAATCCTTTGTCCATTTTTAGTTGGGTTATTTGTCTTTTTATTATTGAGTTGTAAGAGTTCTTTATATATTATGAAAACAAGTCTGTTATCAGATATATGCTTTACAAATATTTTCTTCCATTCTGTGGGTTGTCTTTTTACTTTTTTAATAGTGTCCTTGAAGCACAAAAATTTATAATTTGGATGTAGTCCAATTTTTTTTTTTCTTTTGTTGCTAGTGCTTTTGTTTTGATCTGAGAAACCATTGCCTAACCAAGGTCATGAAGATTTACTCCCATGTTTTATTTTAAGAGTTTTATAATTATAGCTCTTACATTGAGTTATAGGATTCATTTTGATTTAATTTTTTTATATATGATGTGAGGTAGAGTACATCTTCATTGTTGTACATGTGGATATCCAGTCATTTCACCACTATTTGTTGAAAAGCTCCTATTGAATTACTTTGGTACCCTTGTTGAAAATCAGTTGACCACAGTGTAAGGATTTACTTCTCGACTCTCAATTCTGTTCCAATGATCAATATGCTACCCTTATGTGAGTACCATACTGTCTTGATTACTTCAGCTTTGTATTATAAATTTTATAATCAGGAAATGTGAGTTCTTCAACTATTCTTTTTCAGATTTTTTTGTTTGTTTTTTGGCTATTGCATTTCCATGTGAATTTTATAATCATCTTGTTGATTTCTGGGGGGAGGGGGAAGGCAGCTCATATTTTGATAAAAATTGTGCTGAATTTGGGAAGTATTGCCATCTTAACAATATTATATCTTCCGTTCCAAGAATATGAGATGTCTTTTTATTTAGGACTTCATTAATTCCCTTCAAGTAGTGTTTTGTAATTTTCAGTGTTCAAGTTGCAGTTGTGTTAAATTTATTCCCAAGTATTTTTGATATTATTATAAATAGAATTCTTTTCTTCACTCTATCATTTTTGGGCATACAAAGGACTTCACCATTGAAGAATCAGATAAATGTTCACCCATTTTTTTTTTTTTACTTTTTATAGATTTTGTATGGGTTTTTTTTCTTTGTATGGTATTCATTTTGGTGTATGAAGTGACGTAGTCTAACCTTGTTTTTTTCCTAAGTAGTTAACTTAGGTATTATCCCAATACCATTTATTGAATAAAGTCTTTTCTACTTCTAAGCACAATCAAGTACCTAATCACTATTGTGATTAGGTACTAATACCTAATGCACTGTTGTTTACTGCATTTTGTTTACTGTCACTATCATTACTGTAGTAATGATAATGCTTGCAGTCCTGCCACTGCAAAAGATAAATCATGTCTCCTTTTTTTTTTTTAAAAAATATTTATCATGATCTAACATACTATGGATTTTACCTATTTATATTATAGATTTTAATTATATATCTTCTTTAATGCCTGCCTCCTTTATGTAAATGCAAGCTTGCTACTGTATCCCCAGCACCTAGTGCAGGGGGGAGGATTTGGGAGGTGCATACAGTGTATATAATTATTTAGTAAGTGAAGGAAAGGTGCATGACACATTTGCTGGGTCCCTTCTTCTCCTTCAGGTCCAGGACAGA